CAACTATGGCGTGGTTGCACGAAAGTAGATGATGAATTGGATTGAAGGAAAACACAAACTGGCTTCACTCCAATAACTACTTCAGAAGATCCTGCTTCCAAAGCACTACTTGCTTTTTTATCTTGTAAGTGCAAGGCGGCTTGTGGTAGAGCCTGCGGATGCAGGAAAGCAGTATTGCGATGTTCGATGGTTTGCGGTGTCTGCAACGGGAAACCTTGTGGAATTATCACCCAAGTAACACTGGACGAATCCGATGAAGAAGACCTCCGTTCGCTGCATGACGATTCTTTATCGACTGCAGAAGAAGAATTCGACGAGATGAAGGAAATTTACATCGATTCTGAAGCTGAAGTAACCAGTTTCCCGGTTGAAGATATCGAAATCTACGAGCCAGGTCCGTCTGGCCTATGCCAAAAATAATTTCAGTATCTGAGTGGAATAGGCCTACCCTACAGGGAAAACCACGTTAAAAAAAACGCGCCGTGTACTTAACTTCTTTGGTGGTGTGAAAACAAGTACAGCATTTCAAATCGAATTTGATTGATCATTCATTATTAACATGGATCAACTGATGAATTAATCGATTAATTGAATAATAGATATGCCACCGTTTCGTGATAAATATTTTTGGAGTCCTTAAATATTGGATTTGGGGACCCCTAATACACATATTATTACCGAAATTCACCTCTACAGAAAACTCACGCAACATTTTCAATTTGGTGAAGGCAGTTGTGCCTTAACGAGGATACTTTAGCGAGAATATTCTAGGAGCATATTTTATAGGAAGTTTTCTCTGGTCAGCAAGCTAAAAATCTAACGAGAGACCAATTGGATAGCCCGTTTCATTATAAAAGACAAATTCATACACATTTTTGGAGATAGTTAGGAGCAGTTTATTGAGATTAACAGAATTTCTTGTCATTTAATCAGCTCTTGGGCCTAAACGGTTCACTTTAGCAAAAATATAATGGGAATATTTATTGTAGGAAATGTTTTCCTCTTCAATTTTTGTCACCCCATATTTTTTCCGTTTTTTGGCGCCATCTTGGCAAGATGGCGGCTCCAACGGCATGCCTCGGAATGTGCATTTTGTGAATTTTTTTCTGGACACCCAAACCTATAATCCTACAGAGTTTCAAAACTTCCGGAATTTTTTCCAGGTAAAAATCCCCAATGACTGGCCTAATAGGCTAGCTTTCAGATCCCCTGTGTAACTTTGAGCTTGGTTTTTCCTCACCCAGCGTAAGGAACCTTAATCTTGACAAGCCTCCTCTTCCTGTAAGAACCTGCACAGCAGTTCTCCAGTCAGACCTATCGTATTCATGTGTTTGTTGAGTCTACAATGCCCTGTGAGAAGTCGCACTAATTGTACTTTGTGTCTGGCTCAGTAGATATTCTGTGAATGTTGCCTGCCTCATTCCTGGCAAGTTGTTTCACCATTCTTGAGATTTGGTTTGATACTTATTGTCTCTTGTATAGCTCTCGCAATACCACAAAAGGGTTCTGGACCGTTCAGAGCTTTGTTAGGTCCTGCTCGGGCAACTGAGTCTGCCTCTTCATTGCCCTCGTACTCTGTATGTGCTGGTACCCATGCTAGAGTCAGTCTGTTCTGACTGCCCAGTTCATTTAGGGTTTCTGTATTGAAAATATAAGCCAGTGGTTTGTAGAGGATTTCTGAGCAGCCCTTATAGACGTATGAAAGAATATCTTATGTTCCAGTAGCTCTTTTTGGCTTCAGTATTTCAATTGCCTCTTTCACTTTTTCCTCAGTTATAAAGGAGGAATTGAAATTACTCCAGTCGATCCAGCTGTTATCAGTTGGAATTGGAACTTCATATCAATTTTTTAGAAACAATACTTCATTTCAGTTGGTATACCAACTTTATTCTGTTTGGATTCTATATATCACTAAAAGCTACTAGGACCTGTCATGGCATTTTCATCAATTTGATGTTGATATTCTGAAAATTCAGTTCTCATGAGTGATTTTATATTATTGGTTCTAAAGCATTTATATTGATTTCTGTGATCATGATTATTGTGGTCTATTTGAATTTGTTTGTGTAATTTATTTTCCAATTCAATTTTATTTATGAGCTCTTAAGAGTACCAAGAAGGGTATTTCCTTCTTTTATTTCGAGAATAATTAGGTGTGATTTTTCTCTTTGGAATAGAATTGTCTATGCAATCATACTTTTTGTATGGAATAAATTCATTATTTCAGAAATGGGCGACATTTGAAGAAATTCCAAAAACACATGAGTTTTAATTTTTGAAACCTCATCTCATGACATTCATATGAGAGATGTTACGTCACCGGTGTTGGAGTAATGACTTAATGGACGGTTTTTTTCAAATACAAACAGGGGTCATGTGACACCTCGTTTGAAAGGTCTACTGATCGTCTATCCAATAGTCAAAATTTTGCAAAAGAAGATTGAAATTAAAATGGATTATCATTTGGTTAACTGAATCTTGCAGAGATCTTCTACTGAGAATTGAACATCGAAGGGTCGTCTAGTGGGAAAAATACATCGATAAAAAAGTTCTGAACTCTACTTTTTGGATTTTTTTCGGAAGTCGTCTTGTTTCGAAATGAATTTATTCCATACATTTGCATCATACTGTATATATATCAGGGTCATCGATGTTCCCAAGATCAGTCCAGTCAATATTTCCAAGAAATTCATATAACAAGAGGAAATCACCCTCACTATATATATAGTCATGAACCTATGATGATTTTGTAATTTTTTTTTTTAATTTTCACTATAGATCATTTTGTCAGACTCGGGTTCCACTTGCATAGTCAGTGATGGATGATACACATCTTCACTTATCGATGAGCTAGTACTTATATTTATATTTTGGATGTCCGCATATCAGAAAAAACTGGGTCGAGTATTCTACCTATATGATTTAATAATGTATCTCATTGTTCTAAGTTATAGATACTAAGAAATTGACTAACTAAGTTACCTTCATCATATGTAGTGTTGGGATGGGACACTACTGCCCCATTGTGCCAAACATCTCGATTCCAGGCTATCTCCAGGTTTGCTCGATCTATAGTTACTCTCATGGAGGTATATAAGTCAGGTCTTTTCAAGACATATCTTTCACAGATCACTTCAGGTAATTCCTTTAAGCACCTTCTTCAGATGGTCAGGTTCTGTTTTTTTATTTGTTCGTGTTACGCGCAATGATACCAGTTTTGTAACAGTTGTGATGCCCATTGAGTCTTCATTTCTACCAATAATAAATCTGCGATGTCTCTTGCATGTCACTTTCTCCGGTTTTCATCACTTGTTGGTTATTGTTGTCCTGGGTCCTGTATTTGCTTTTGCTATACTTATTGTTTTTGCTTCATGGATTGCCGAACTTACTTGCTGAGCATCGGAAATAGCAGTTTCTTTGTTGTTTATTTTTGCTTTTGTTTCTACGCCATTTCATATCAGGGCTACTGAATATGAAGGTTTCACGATAACGTTGGTACTATTTCCTTCATCAGTGTTTTCAATCGGTTTCACTTTGAGAAACTTGTTCATGTGTTTGTTTTTGTTTCAACTTGCAGCTTCTGTTCCTAATCCCGACCCAAGGTCAATCACTTCTAGTATTGTTCGTCTTTCGACTCTATTTTTCCCCATCGATGGTCACTTCTTCTTGTTCAGATTTGGATAGCTTTTTCCTCATGAATCCAATTTTTTCTCTTAGCAATGAACAATTTTCAATAAGTATGTCATCTTTGGATTCAAGTTCGTTGATTATGCGTCTCAAAACTTTTTTTTCGCCTTCAAACACTACTAAATTCACTGTCATTTTCTTCTGCGATGTTTCCACTATTATGACTTTCGTTTGGCTCTTGCTTACAGATGCAATTTTTTGCTCTCGCTGACTGCACCATACATCTTGGATGGAATGAGGCATTGCATTTTCCACACTCAGCAAAATTCACAGCGGCCTTTTTACAATGTTTGCACTCATTTTTCGGCGATCCGAGAGCCGATGTCATGTCGGTATTGTCGGTTGGAATTGGTTTGCATATAATAATGATATGATATAATAAGTTATTAGTATGTATTCAAGTTGATTGCATTTCAATAATAAATCAGTTACCCATACTCATAATCAAGTTTAAAGGAACACCTACTCTCATTTAATAAAAAGATGAGACCATATCGTTTCTGCTATCAAATGTTGAAAAAAAAAATTGAGCATGATGAAATCGTTCGATGGCGTCTCTTTCCACGGTTACTTTTTTCTTTCCATCCATGTTCCATAAATTTCGAGAAATCGAGGACTTGGGATAAGTAGATTGTATTAGGTACCTGAAGATTCTATTCCTGAGGCGAATACTCATTTCTTTTCAGAAAGATATTCTGACAATCTTATAGCAAAAGAATTTTGATGGTTTTTGAAGTGAATATTCCAAGATCACAATTTCTTTGAATGAAGTGCGTATTTCTTCGAATGAAAGGATCCTTTTTTATATCCATTGAAAATAAGAAAGATGGTGCCTACTATTGGCACACCCTGTATACTAGGTAAGTAGATTTTAAATAATCAATCATAACAGGAAACCGATTTCGAATTTTTTAATCCAAATACAAGTTGAAAAACTTCTAAGGTGTGACCTACGTAAATAACCCTATATATCATTCTCACTGAACCCAGTTTGTATACGACTCCGAGATATCAAGATTTGTGAACCGAGAGTACATTATTTACAAAAACAATCACATCAGATGCATCTCATTGTGTGAATGTACTTGACTGCAAACTTTCATAAAATTCGCCCTTTTCGTTTCAAAGATATCAACTTGGTTCCATACTTCATCCCAACCCTGTATGGTAGGTATACCTGATTCATATATTGTCAAGTCATAATAATATTGTAGTAATCCCTTGTCCACATTTGAACATGATTAAAATGAGACAAATAAATATAACAAATATTTTCAAAAATTCTACTTGCTGCTTGTTATACATAATTATACAGATAATATTTTCTCACTCGTTAGTTGGAACACTCAAATCAAATGAAAGCTTGAATAATATGTACCTACATCAAAAAGTGATACGAACTAGACTGTTTCTGATCATTGATCGTTTAATATTCATCGTATTTGGTTTAGTGATTGAATATCCTACTCAGAGTATAGCGTACCTTACCTATATGAAATCAATAGTGAGTATTTCTATTTATTATACAGGGTGTTTCGTAATATGTGGGACGCACTTCGAGAGGTGATAATCTGGTGCATAAATGATTGAATCGGTAGCATTATTTAGTCAATCTGACTACCAGTGGCACCGTTAAGAAGTAGCAAGTGCGCTTTTTTCAGAAAAAACAGGAGTGGCGATCAAATGTTTCGGGATTTTATTCTAACTTTCTTATTTTCTTAAGACGCCCTATCACCTGTCGAAGTGCTTCCCACATATTACGAAACACCCTGTATATCTATTTATCATTATTAAGCTGTTGTTTAGATGTTACTTCGTGCGTTAAAAGAATAATATTCATAAAATTCACATCTAGGCGGATTGAAATGACATTCATGATCGCGGTTAATATACAGGGTCTTGAAACGGTCAAACATCTCAGCAACTATCTATTTTTGGGATTTTCTTCAAACGTTTCTATATACATATATAAATAGACATCAAAATATGTGTGGCAACGACAAAGATTCGCTCCGAAATGTCACTGCATTTAAAGAATGCATGTAAATTGGAAAAGCTGGATGAAAAATTCAATCATCAATAGACAGTGATTGGTAGGTACCTCGTTCCCAAATATTTTTGAAAAAGGGGAATGAATGTTATATAGTGAATAGTATAATAATAAGAAGTGTTATAAACGTCCTTTCAGTAACGAGTATTTCGAACAAGAGCGCTGCAGAGCGGATAGAGTGTTCAATAAAGAGTGTCTATAGAAAAGTTTATGAACGCGTTACATACTATGCTTTCTCAACGAACTCATAATTCTTCTCTTTCACAAGCACCCATAATTCCAAAATTAGCCAAACCTACAAAATGATTCGAAGGGAATATAGGGAATGAACATTGAGAACATATGATGATACAGAAAACTATGCAACTTTATACAACCAACGGAAAATGAAAGTGATATTGGTTGTAGATGTGTCCAGTCGTTACCATCGAGACTATAAGGCCTGCATGGTCCGTGGTGACGTCACCTTAGTGAGGCCTAACCAGCGGCCCGAAACGACAAGCGCTTATGGCGCTATAAGGCGACCACGTATTTCAATTTTAGTTTCAGATCATAATTGAGCCGATTTTGCTCGAAGGGCTTTCGAAAAAAAAAAGTCAGTCGTCAACTGAGCCCCTCTTCGCATCCCATTCGATTTTATTATGGAATAACGAAGTTTTAAAGCGAAAACCAGAATAAAACACAAAAACCCACCAACAACCATTCGAATTAAATATTGGTATTGGCAAAAATTATTGTAGTGATTAAATCTCATTAGAGGCAGAGATTATAAATCTGTTAGAGGAATACTTCACACCTACTTATACAGGGCTCGCAGAACATAAACTTATCGTGAGATTGTTCGAAAGAAAATTGTGGAAAATGTATCTTATTTTGATAAACATGCCGTTTGTTTTAATTACCTATATTTATCTTGGAGAATTCGTATTACCTGAAAAATTAGCCAGTGAGTGTTTTCAATTTCCTGTTGTTGGATTTTTTACCCAATTGATCGTTAGACTCGAGTGTTTCTAGTACATGTTAATATGATAGTTGCAATTTGATCATTGGAATGAATTCTGCATTCATTGCCACGAGTCAAATGACCGTTTTCAGAAAGAAATTTGAGAATGTATTGAGTTAAAATTGCCCGTGTATTATGAACATTCAAGAATATTTCCTCGAATCGATGATTTTGTTGAATATAATATACGAATACAAATTTAACTGCGCAATCAAAGCTTTTCTCTTTTTCCTCTACTCATACTTTTCATGAAAGAGTAATTGTCTTCTATTATTAATTCGTCATTTCAAAATAAGTTCTCTTTACTACTGTACTTAGATGGAGTAAAATCCTTGCGGTGAATTGCATATACCCACTTCTTCGATAGTTTCTTGTCCTACGGAACATTTGGACCACCCACATAATTCCCCCGACAAAAGGAAACATAACATTTGAAAGGCATTGTTATTTCTTTCGCCTTTCACAACACAAAATATTTCACAAAACAGTAATCTTTCCGCCAATTATTTTGATGAATAAACAACAAAAGGATTCAGAACGCGACCGTTTTCCAAACATACCTGATCGAACTGACGACGAGCAGTGTTGCCAGATGAAAATTTGCCGGAGCAGTAGATGGGTGGGGAAAAAACAGTAGATCATCAAAACTGAATAGAAGATTCCAATAATCATCACAATTTGCTATTATAAATGAAAAAACATAGTAACCTATATAATAAGCGAAAAAAAAAAATGTTTGTTCTCTAAACCTATTAAAATCGAACAGAAAATGAAAATAAAAAAATCTAAAATAAAATTTGTGAAAACCACAACCAAATTGAAAATGAAAGCTGATTTTTATTATTCAGACTGAATATAATAATTCCAGTATATTTTTATCATACATATTTTTACTGTGATGCCCCATTAATTATTCATTGTTACATATCAGGTAGATATGTCATATCGAAACATGACCATTCAGACTATTGCCTTGAAGAAGAACGGAGACGAAAACAGTAGATCTACTGTTAAAATAGTAGGTTTGGCAACGCTGACTACGAATCGACACGCGATAGAAAATGTGTGTGGCCTCTCTTAGTTGACGTCACGAGCTGTTTACGTCAGAGACTTCTGGTTTGTGTTCACGTGGGTAACGGTCCAGTTCACTGGATACATTGAATTCTATTAAAATGGCTAGCTTACTAACCTTTGTGAATGAAAAGTTTTCATCTAGCGTAGATGGTTGTTGTCTTTCCTACCAATAATTTCAATATCATTCTACCCTGCCGAATAAGTATATGTTGTCCATTTTCAGTAAGGTTATGTTCAGCGAATTTTACTTAAACGACATCAAAAACTGATAGATATCTTCTAGTTATTATATATACAGTATGTACACTGTGTTCGTATAGAAAAGTATTGTACAGTGTGCGATGCGTCTCTTCGGTCTGAATTTCACCTCAACTTTTTAGTATTCGAAGATAAGGAAACATGGTAGTTAGTATAGCCCTTTCTTGCTACTTTATGAATGTTATTTAGTAAATTGGGAAATGCAAGACTAGTGTGTAGTTGGGTTATAGGCACGGCAGCTCTGTTGTTTGGGAGCAGGCTGTGGATTCAAGGAGTAAAGTATTCTTAGGGACCTTGTTTGCCAGGCGCCACTCAGTTTTCAATAGTAGGAAAACTAAGAAAATTCAATACTGAAGATATAATTTGAAATTGATGAAACACCAAATAATTGTACCAGATATATTCTTGAGCTTGTTCAAAGAAGGGTTATGTGACAGGCAATTCTCAATGATACTTTCAGTAACACCTTATTGAGCAGAAAAATGATAAATCACCTCATCAGTGTCATATAAGTTGAATGCTTAAGCAAGTAGTAAGACTTGAATGGTAACTTGGTGCTGTGCACTACTGCATCATAAGGAACAAAAGGGTAATCAAAATGGATCTGACCTTATGTGTCTGCAGAGCATGTAGTGCTGATCTGTCCTTTACTGCCAGTGAACTCCAACTTCCAAATCCTGGTTGGTACAGTTAAAAAAGGAAGGTATCCTGGAGCTGCCTAGTCATCCTGGAATCATCTTGGAATTCCAACTGGGTGGGTTCAAGAGGAAAACCTCGAAATGAGCGGTGGCTTCACAGCACACGTGATGTTGAGGCTTCCTAGTCACCCCCTGGCTTCGTGGATGTTCAGGATGGGATCGAGAGGTGCTCCAAAAGTGAGATTCAATTTTGCACTCTACAATGGCGTCCCAACAGGACATCCGCCATGGACAGGCCACTAAATCTGGGATAATTATAACAGTTTGAATATCTCGAATAAATATGTAGACCCTAAAAATGATCACCTTCCGTCTGGAACGGCCGAAATTATGGGTTTTGAACCCCACAAAGGTTAGCAGGAAAATGGCAAACGAGCTGTCCATCTTGCCTACTTTCGGTAGAGAAGAAGGAAATCAAGGATTTTCGAGAGCTTCCTGTGCACTCAGAAAACAAAACCGTTTATGAAAACTGCTTCAAGTTAGAAATAATTCACTGCGCAAGTACAGTTGGAATCTTGTCCAGCTAATAAATGTTACCAACAGAAATTATTGAAATACCCAGATTATCTAAGGAAATTGTCCTATTGGGCCACTGTGCCTTTGCCAGTCTTGAAAGGATTGTGAAGTTAGGTCCGACACGGAACCACAGTACCATCGGTCTTATCACAATGTTGCCAGTAGGCCGAAAATACAAGAAGAAGGAAATAAATTCACAGTACTATGGCCGAAGCGAAATGACCTAATGCTTCACATAACCAATTGACTGTCAGGCTGGAACTGAAATATGGATGTCAACAATTACATACAATTACAACTACCTCAAACATAAAATTCCTGTGGATCCGAAATCAAATTGAAAACAGCAAGGATATATCAATTTCCAACAGGTCTGTGAAATTGTGTACTAGGGATAGTACACAAACGCAAACCCTCAATCTGGTTAACGAATTACATGCCAATGGAGATCCTTTGTTTTCTTCAACTCAAACACCAGAATTAAAAATTTGGGGCCCTTTAAGGGGCCAAACAAGAATTTGCTAGAGACATTTTCAATTTGTTTATCTCTGTAGAAAAAGAATCCGTTGTGAAAAAATAGGGTTCCCATTGAAAAAAAACATGTCATCTCCCAGGCCGTATGGGGGCCCTAGGGGGGGGGTTGTGAGTAGGGTTATTCTTTGGCCTCCATTGGATCCTTCAACTTTTGTTGGAACCATTTTTTTGAGCGGCTTCCGGGAAGAACTATTATCCATAATAGATTAAAATGGTCCACCCTGTATATCCGTTCATACATATCGATGAATAGATTTCGGAAGGATGTGATTCAATGTTCTGCGTGGCATTAGCCAGGAAAGTAGTTGTTTTCCTCCCGTCATCTGTCATTGTTGTTCATATTATGAACATTTGCGGAAATGACTTTGAGCTCTTTGTATGTATATTCTACCTTCCATTCCACTTTGAGCATTGTGGCTATATTTCGTAGTTCTATTTGTATTCGTTTTTGTGAAACTCACGGCAACTATATGCATTTATTTCAGGCAACCATGAAAGGTGTCACCATCATATCAACAAGGCTGAGCAATAAACGAGGATATATCACATTGGCAATCATCCTTTATTTATTCCTTATCAGCTTATTCGGACAGTTTCATGTCAGAAATTACAACTTCAAGTCGGACTACAACAGACTGATAAACATCACTTTTTCTTTCGAACATTTACCCCTGATATGCCATAGCTCGCAGCCCACCTTCATTGTTATAGTCCACAGCTCTCCAGAAAACTTCGTCAAGAGAAAAACGATCAGGGAGACATGGGGCGGTAAAACAAACAACGTGAGCTTATTATTCGCTCTAGGACACACCGAAAATGTACAGATTCATAAGGAAATCGAAAGGGAGTACGAAGTCCACCAGGACCTGCTTGAAGGTAGTTTCTTAGACACCTACCACAACCTAACCTACAAACACGTGATGGAATTGAAGTACACAGTTTATCATTGCCCGGAAGTAAAGTACCTGGTGAAGCTCGACGACGATGTTTTTGTTAACATGCCTAACCTCAAAGAGTTTATCCATCTGTACAACCTTGAAAATGCCAACTCGACTAGTATATTGTGTTCAAGGATGTCCGGTAATCCTGTTTTGAGGAGTGGAAGATGGGGTGTTCCTGTGGAAGAATATCCAGACGAATACTACCCGGATCATTGCTCGGGCTTCGCCATAATTTACCCACAAAGAGCTGTTGCTGCGCTATATGCGCAGGCGCAGAAAACGAAATATTTCTGGATTGACGATGCTTTCGTTAGTGGTATTGTGGCCAAGGGCGCTGGTTTGACTCATACTGAAATCGCTGACCTATTTTTGTCTGACGAAGAAGTAGTTGGGATTGTGGATTTCGATTTTACCAATATAACGAAACCGTTCTTGTTTGGGAGGATGAACCTGGATGACTATCAGATAAGGTCCTTGTGGGACTTTGTTAAACATCATACACCCAAAGCTAGTATATTGGATTACCTAAAAATTGAATAGATTATTGACTTTTCGAATTCAATTGAATTGAATGAACCTTTCAAGAGTTATTGGGCAGTGGAATATACAGTGTTATCCATTGAGCCCGTGAACCCATTAGGACCAAGTTGATCATTAGATTATTAGATTAGGCGATCCAACTTAGGCGAGAATTCTGATATGGCGCCTGGTTGGCACCATGTATCAATTCAATAGTATATAATGCGACCATAGCAATTAAATTGTCCTCTTTTGTGATTTTCCGTGATGAAGACTTCCACTTCGGATACGGAGTATTGACCATAAATAATTTATTTGTGTGCCAACCAGGGCATACAACGACAGAGGTCGAAAGATTGACCAACAAAATTACTGGTGTGGTCAGATGTTAGAAGTTAGATAGCGAAAAAAGCTTTTCAAAAGATTTGATCAGAATTAAATTTTCTACTCGCCTATACAGTCTCAAGAAATTATTCTAGAAAATTCAAAATATTGCTGTTTTTTCGAAATTTTGCGATCTTGTTACAATTCTCTTTTTTTCTCTGTATAGGTTCACCTCTAGGTTGACAGTATGATGGTACAATGTATCTCAATAAACATGAGAGAATAATTTCGTTCACTTCACACCAGAGTTACTAAAATAGGAACTGCAACTGAAATATTTCAGATGTAATATAGTACACGAAATGTTACAGGCTCCTGGTCTTCAAATTTAATTGCGAAGTGAGAGGTTCAGCCACGATTATCAATCATATATAATATCACGAGAGCTTCAATTATTTCCGGAAAGTTTTTCGAGAACACGAATTTTCTAAATATTCGTGTTTTAGAAAAAAATCCCGGATATTGATTGAAGCTAATGTGGTATTCGGTAAGAAAATTTCACTCCAAACAACACTTAGATGATTTAGCTGAAAATGATGGTTGTTTGTGATGGAATGTAAGAACTAACGTATAGTAACAACATGTGTTTTTGTAAATTTCGAATTTGCAAGTATACCTACATAATTTTATATGATAATCTGTTGGTAAATAATTTTTATTCATTAACTTATAGAATGAACTCGAAATAATCTGAAGTTGAATGTGAATCTCATTTAGTCTATAAACGTCAAAAAATGTCTAGTGTAATATCATGCTCCGTCCCCCAAGGAAGAGGAAAACATTTCCAAGGAATTTGTTAAGTTGCTATGGTAACGATACGGAATACAGGCTTTGAATTGATCGAAAATGTTTGGTGTGAAATTTTCAATAAAATAGTTTTATTCGATAGTTTTTTCCAGTGTAATTATAAAATAATTCTTTTTATCGAATCAATCAATAAATAATATACAACGTTGATGCTGGGTTTATAGATTCAATTCAATTAACAAATAGGAAAGAACAATCAACAATTAATGATCTTGAGGGTGTTCATACAGATCTGATATCATTTAAAAAAATCAAAAATCAAAATAATGTTAAAAAGTGATTTTGTTCTCCACAATTCATTAATCCATGAAACATATTCCAATTATTGAATATCACCAAATTCCACTTGAACAACAACAAATCCAATCTTCATGTTCTGTCTCCAGAATTTCATAATTCTTAGTTGTCGAGTTGAAAGTTGGCCAACTTTGTGATTCTTAATAATTCTTGATTTTAATGACAGATGCAAATGTATAAACCCTCATAGATGTTTTCGTGTAATCAACTTTTTAAGTTCATAGTTGTTAGTTTGATCTTAGGCTGTGTCAAGTCAACCAGCTGTTTGGGAATATCGGTCACGTTTCAAACCTGACCAAAAAAGTTATTACTACTTTTGATGGGAGTCGTGTCAACCATTGGCCATCCTGGCATCACCACTGTGGTCGAACGAATGACTTGACACAGCCTCAGTTTAGTTGAATCTTGTTGAATCTAGAAACCTAGTATAAACGTCATCAATTTTGATAGCTTATAGAACAACGGGAAAAACGTTATTGTTTTGACATCTCTATCGAGTTCTTGACGGGCCGCGTTAGATTTAAAATCGTCAAAATAATCACATGTATAATGATACACAAAATTTAGTTATTAATTATACAAGGGAAAAAAGTAGTAGATTTTAGCTCCAGGTTGTGTTGTCTCCCGACGCGTAGCGGAGGGAGACAAAAAACCGTGACCTAAAATCTAATATTTTTCCCGTGTATAATACACTATTTTTCTCTGTGATGAGAAAGGACGAATCAATATTGAGAAGATAACACATTATTTTGAAATCTGAAAATTATCGACGTGAAATTTCAAGTTTTTAACAGGGACACCTGCGTTGTAGGCATCTTTAACATTCTTTTGAAGTAATCAAATATCTGATGTCACTTCTGTCAGTCTAATTCTGTGATTTTATTTCAAAAAATTGCGAATTTAGTGGTTGTTTAGTGATATACGTAACCGCGAAGTCGAATGGAAGATAAAAGGACTTGCAGTTCTTTCTCGGAAACGGTACTATTGACAACGGGAAAAGAGTATTTTATGAGAAGTGACATTTTATAACCTGCCAACAGAGATGAAATGCCAAACTTTTTTCCCGTCACAGAAAAAAAAATTATTGGAAGCAATACTATTCCCAGCCCATACAGAACCCCAAAAGGTTTAGCCTTATTGTATCCCATCAAATAAAGATAAGTATCTCAAAAACCAAGCCATAAATCGAATATTTGCATTCGTTCTTCAAATTGAGCAAGGAATAAAAAAATTTAATGTTTTTCGTGAAATATCCAGTAACACCGAAGATTAGGAGAGGGAGACCCGACCCCCCAACCTTAAGTTTTTTTTTGTCGAAACTATTAATAATTTGTCAAAACGGTTTCCATGTCCCTATCCACCAACATTCCATTCAATATCAATTGATATTTTATTGAAATAAATACAGAGTGGTCAAAAATCTTAATTCTGAACCTATATCTATTTCAATAAAGAACGTGGAAAGTTGAGATGAGGACATGGAAACCATTTTGACCATTTATGAATAGGTTCGACACAAAAAATTCTTAAAGTTGAAAAAGTTCAATTTTCCACACCTTATCTTCATCATCATTCCCGCTAGACCCCAAGTGTGGTAGATCGATGAAATCAACTCTTCAAGGAGAATCTGAAAATGAAATGATAAGATATGGGGTCCCATTAAAAAAAAACAAAGTTGTTGCTACTTTTCAATATACGCAGCGCTGGGAATATTTCAGGTCGATAGAACACAACTAATTATCCGAGAAGCCAAGTTTGCAAAACAATCCTACGTTGCGTTCTCCGGAAACGTCTAATGTGAAATTCATTCACCATGAATCAACCTGTATAATGCTTCTTTTCATACGTAAACGACGGCTTTTCAGTAAATATGTTTCATACAGGATGTGGTAATTTATTTCAATTTAATGAAGGCATTTTTGACTCAGATGACATTTCACATTTTGCTTCCAATGTATAATTCCTTCATCTTTCATATACAAAAATAGTATACTTCATTTCAATCGATATCTTCTACCGTTCTAGAGGAAATCTCATTTCAAAACATATACATAAATATATTTTTCCTACAAGCGTGCGCAAAGTAGTACTTTTCCGCACTCATTTGCGTGCGCAAAGTGATACCTTTCCGCACTCAGTGCGGATATTGGTGTTATCCGCACGGCGTGCGGGTAAGTAAAACAACTCAAAAATCTCACTGGTATGGAACATTTATATTCTTTTTAGTTGCTGATGTAGTCTATTGTATGCACTATATAGGAAGCCGTTATCCCTTTCACTTTTCAACCGTTCGTGCCGATATTTGTATGTCACCTGAATATAAATATTAGGAACAAATGAATAAATTTTCTATCATTATATTCCATTGATATGTAATTGTTTGTCGTTTAGCTATTTCTATGAAGTTTAACTAAAAATTATTCAATAAATTGTAATTTGAGCTGACATTTTTTTATTTTCCTTGTTATATGATATTAAGCTCGTAGGGAGAATGTGATTTTTTATTATTATATTTTATTGTTATCTGTGATGTTGTATAGTTATATTTTTCAATAAGTTATATATTTTTTTTATTTTCCTTTTTATCTGATATGAAGCTCGTAGTAAAAACGTTGTTCCTAACACGTGCGCAAAGTGTCTTTTCCGCACGCGAACTCCGCTCCGCGTCGTTTCCTAACTGTATTTGCGTGCGGAAAAGTAACACTTTGCGCACTTGTTAGGAAAATAACTATTCTCTACAAGCGTGCCTGATTCACCCTATACACGCACGCAATTTATTTCGGAAAATGTCAATTTCCCGCTGTAGTGCGAAGAAGAAATATCGAAAATAATTATCGTCTGTTATATAAATCTCCCTATTTTAATTGATCTTATGTGGGAAACAATTGTTTTCATGTCAATCAGAACACAAATAAGTTAGTGTATTTCTCAGAATGATAGACAAGAGTGTCACTGTCATTTTCTATTCAGTGGAATTGCGATGAAAAACTTCCAGCTACAGATGCGATACAGATGACTTATTGCCAACGAAGTCTTGAGAAAGGTATGAGAAGCACTATATACACGCGGGATTCATTGAATGGTGCAATAGAAGAAAAGTGAAAACACCAAATAAAAAAGAAGTATTTTTGGATCATTTGCTAGAAATGTTTGAAACCTAGAGGCCAAAAACCATAGGCATGCTGGCTTCCGCAATATACATGCTGCTTCAAACGGTACACACAATAAATATATCACTAATTATTAGGAGATAGGGAATATATCACTATTGTTAGTTGTTCCTATTTGCAGGATTAATGGATTAAACAAATCAATCAATTTCCTACGCTTGTTAGGAAATTTACTATTAATATCACACTCGAACCTATGTCGATAGATGGCGCTGTAAATGATTGGCAACGTACTTTCTATGCCGGTCGGACGAGAGAATATAAATATTATCTAGAGACAATTGAAGAGCACACTCACCTGGCATAGGGGTTAACCATGATCAACAAGGCGGCTTCCCCAGAACGAGGCCATAATATCGCCGAATGTGTTCACATTAAGAATGTCTGCCATTATTGGTATGGAAATATTCAACACATATCTTCAAGAGACGAGAACATAGCGACATAATAATTTCTGATGATTCACCAATATTTCCAAATAATATTGCACCAATTTTGTAAGATTTTCACTTTTCATTTCTCGCCAATATTGATTTCTCAGTTTATCACCAAATATACAATCAATATTTGTGTGAGAATATTCCACCAATGTTTTCAAGAGGACATTGCAATATGCTGATTTCAATAGTCCATCCACATCTTGAAAATAATATTATACCAATATCGCCGAATGTTCACATTTTGTTTCTCGCCATTAAATATTACGTTCCCAATATTTTGCCGATATATTCGTGATATTGCACCGATATCGTCCCAATATATTTGTGTTACTTTGAGAGGGTTTATCGAAATGTGAGCCATAATAAATGTGGACCTGTCGAAATATAGGCACAACGCGATGTGGGAGTAACGAAATGTGGGCACAACGCAGCACAATCTTTAGAATTAGGGATAACCTAATAATTCCGGTGATGAATTATTGTAAGTGTTATCTGAACATATTTTTATGATATAAAGGAAATATTGCATTGACAGGAAGTGATGGATTTATCACACCGATTATGAATCTCAGTATAAAAGTTTGTAGTATAATCCTTACTTAGGATTTATGTTTATCTATTAAATAGGTGTTATAGGTGGAAATATAAAGATAACGATAACGTATATATTTTTCATTAATTGACTCATGACATTGATGGGAACATCCATCGCCTCAATTGATACTTATCCACCATACATACAAACAGAGACAAACCCATACAGTGTGACAACTCTCATGAAATTGGTTTTCTTTTCTGATAGGTATACAAAAATAGATCTATTTCCGATTTCGTTTTTCAAAATTTTATTTTCATCATCTACCTACATGAAAAATCTATAGGATAACATTGAAAACAGTAGTTTCTAAAGTTCGAATTTGGCAACTCACGTTTTATATGTAATACTGCACGCTGAAAATAAAAACGATGTGTTGCAATCATTTCAAATGAGCAATTTATTCAAAAGTTCGATCAGCTGCATTTGTCACTTTTTACAGAAAAACTCGAATAACTGGATTTTGAATCAGAATCATGGGAGTAATTCAAAAATGTAGTGAAATACAGGGTGTCCTATTAAAAATAACGAAGATGACGAAAGCTTCACAATAACGAAAATATTTTTTCTCCTTTTCCGCACTTATTCTAGAGATGGAAGAGCCACTTCTCCGCACTAGTGCGGAAAACATTTTTTTCCACACCAGCGGAAAATGAATTATTTAAGTCACTACACTGATAAAAAGGATTCCTTGGATTGAAGGAATTTGACTTTACCTCAAGGGCGCCAAGCATTTGAATAGGGCGGAATGCATGGACATTTCGACCCAATATCCCAAAAACTTTGAGGCAAGCGCCTAAGTTCTTTAGCATGAAATTATATAAATTCGAGGCAAGAAACTTTGGCTTTGCCCTAATAACTAATGCTTTTGGCTTAAAATCGTAGTTTTCCCAACTTATGGGGAATGTTGAGGTAATTGCCATGATTTCTTTAGCCCAATGATATATGAGTTTATCGCAAAATACCCTGAACTTATCATAATGCACAATGATTTTTGGTCAAAATCATTGAGATATAATTTCAAAGTTATGAGATTCAAGATGAAAGATATGGTATTATTGTATTGAAATATAGAGCTTCGCTGTAAATACAGCAAATGTTTGATCCAATATCTTATGGTCTTGGAACAAAATTTTTATGATCTTGATGCAAATTCTCTGGAGATTTCTTGAGAGGATACTCCTGTAAAATGTTGAAATAATAATTAGAATTCCGATTGATTTCTATAAAAATTTTGAGGATCATGTTATCATGAATCCTTAACAAAACCCCATTATTGGTTTGTTGATATTAGATTCAGTTCTGATGTTGCATAGGTTGGAATATACTTGAAAATTAAAATATCCCATCAACTTGTTTTAGCTTCTTATTTATCCTTGGGCGAAGATTGTGGAAATCCTGAAAAAACAACCATTGATAAAAAACTCATTTATTTTATAAAATAACACATGAAACATTTCATATGATGATGAAATACCTATCTACTGAAATAAGTATAGGTGGGTACTTACCTTGAAATGTTTACATCATATGGCTCAAACGCAACGCATCTAGAAGTTTTTCAAACTCCACTGAATCGCTCATGATCCACAGCACAACGCTACACGACAGATATGGCCGCTAAAATGCATTGTCAACGGGACGGTACTCGGCACGATGCAGAAGAAGAAGGATGATGGAGTGATGGGGTCGACCCATACATTGCGCATGACTCAAACGGAGTCGGTATGTTTTCGGTTAACCTCGGGTGAACTCGATCTCATCAACGGTCTCAACCGAACGATTTCAGATCTTGTATCAAAGTCTTGTGATCTTGAGGTAGATGCAAACCAAGCAGGACTAGAGACAAGGTCGATGATGTTATCTCAAAAGCGTTTACAGCCAAAAGATTCAAAACCTTATTACAAAAACAACAAAAATCTGCAGATGAGAGCAATGTATTTGAAAGGAAGGAATTGTCCTTGTCAGGAGAGAAAAGAATCTAAAAGCATCATTCTTTTGTCACCAATCGGGTATTTTTATCAGTGTATAACTTAGATATACTTACATTTGAATATTCAACAATAATAATAAATGATTTTTATTCATAGCTTATGGGTTTTTTCCGCACGGTAGTACAGAAAAAAGTTCACCTAACACGTGCCTAAAGTACTTTTCCCACTCTTCAAAACTACTATAGTTGATTCATCATGTTCCTCGAACACCGTCCCTTCAAATTTTCTCTATATCAAAATAGCCTGAACTCAGGAAGATATACAGGGTGTCCCAAAATTACATACACAGATAAAGAGGATATCTTGACCTGAAGTAAAACGATTTTGAACCAAGGTCGCCATGTCTTTGGATATGGTCAAATGAATATTACCTCATCAAAAGTCAACAACATCCTTGGACTAATTCCATGAATAGTTCCCAATTATAAGAATATATGACCTAACTCTAAGAGGAACAATTGATTCATTATCATGTTCTATGGATTCATTATCTTGTTCCAAGAGAGGGAAAAATATTGATTAGTTGATCTGAAGGTTTGTATTCCTTTGGTCCAAGAATCTCAATCTTGACTCAAAGAAATATGATCTTTTCAAATGTACACGAAGTATCTTACCTCAAAGACTTGTTCTTGATGGAAACAAATTATATGCCCTAGCGATAAATGAATAATATTATCGTTAGAGTTCTTGATTCATGTATGCAAGAATAACGCAGTTTAAGATTTTTCGGAAAATAAAAATGATATAGGAAACAAACTCTTATATTAAATAAAAAATCCAAAAATATTGGTCTTTTGTCTGTCACATCCCACTCATTGCTTTCCGCATTTTTTCCAAATTCGTCTTGTCGATCAATAAATATTATTGGTATATCTCCATCATTATGATTAACTTGTAAAATTGTCTGAAGCTCTTCAACTGCAACAGGCTCAATTGCCACGGCTTCTTCTATTTTCTTCTTTCTCGAGTGGGCTCATACTGAAAAGAATATTTACGTGTTCTTTCTAGCACATTTAGAAATTCCCTAATTTGAAATCAGTGAAAAAATAACTGATAAAATATTTGTTTGATGTTTTAAAGAATGTCAAAGCATAGATCCGATTATATTCATCAGAGGATGTTCCTGATGAGTTTCATTGATAGAAGCATATAGGGGAGATTATTTTCGTGAGAATTTGAAAATATAATGTATAATAATCTAACAAGAGAATCATCTCATTTTAGTGTGCAGCATGAACTTTCGA